CACGAGCATCACTTGGAATGCTTATTTAGGTGGGCCCATTGCAGTGCTAGGTTGGAACCTAGCAGTCTTCAAGCTGAACAGATATCCCTTATAGTTCTTAAGATGAGACTGGCTAGGACCTACTTCACCTGCCCTAAGGTGGCAGGACTCCGGTGGGTCATGGTTTTGTCTTCAGAAACATGACTTGTCAGACACCAGAGTGTATTGATTTGACAGAGTGGCCCCATTAACCAGAACCACAAGGACTGATGGACAAAACACAAGGCCAATTCCAATTCAATGATTAGAAAAACCACAGGTGGTGTGAGAGGCATTGCTCAGGGGTACAGCACTTGCATCAGTAGGTTAGATTCCCAACACTACAAAAGATACTAATAAAGGAGCCACAAAACCAGACAATGAGATCTCAGGGGTCCTCTTGGCTTCATCAGGGCATCTCCACATACTCACCCACCTTGCTCCAGTAATAGGGATTAAATTCAGGGCTTTGCACATGCTAGGTAAGTGCTCTACCACTGAACTTCAAACCCCCACTCCAACCCTCCCTTCCCTGGCCCTTTTTATTTGTTGAGACAGGTCTAGCTAAATTGCCCAGGCTGGATTTGAACTTGTAATTTTTCTGCCTCAACCTCCAGAGTGGTTGGGATTATCAGCATGCACCACTACATCCAACATGTCTGGTCCATTGTATTTTGTGATATTGAAAGAAAACCCATTTTTCTTGATGGATGCATGGCCCATGCTCCCCTGGTTTATGGAAAGGTACTGTGTACCAATTCTATATTGGTACCCAGTATCATTCCATAAAATTAGCTGTATACTAATTACTGTATACTAGCTGTATACTAATTCTAGGGGCAAAAACCATAAGGAAACTTCAACATCCACTGAGAGTTTGGCTTCCTCTATTAAGGAGTTTCACTGGAATAGTAACTAACATTAGTAAGCATCATTTTTTGAGTGCTTACTATGTGGCAAACAACCTTAGGTGCTATTATTTTATGATTAACTCTTATTTTTGCAGTAATTGAAGGAGGACGTAATCTCTATGAGGAAATGGGTTATTTAGTGATTTCTAGGAACTGGGAATTGAACCCAGGGTCTCAGGCAGCCTAGCAAATACTCTACCATTGAGCTACACCCCAGTCTGCATTTCTAAAAAGCTTAACCATCGGTATTTAAACAAGGAATATTTAGCCTATCTCAAATAAAATGAAAAAGGCTGGGGGTGTAGCTCATTGTTAAGGCATCCCTAAATTCAATCCCCAGTACCAAGAAAAAATAAATAAATTTCTTCTTTATCAGTATCAGTGTGGCCTTTCACCTCTATTTTGGGGGGATTGGGGTAGGTTACTGGGGATTTAATCCAGGGGTGCTTTACTACTGAGCCATATCCCCAGCCCTTTTTATTTGAGACTGGGTCTCACTAAGTTCATCAAGGAACTTGTTGAATTGCTAAGGCTTATCTCGAACTTGCAGTCCTCCTGCTTCCGTCTCCCAAGTTGCTGGGTTACAGGTGAGCGCCAAAGCACCCAGCCTTTCTCCTCTAAATTGTGTGTGTGTGTGTGTGTGTGTGTGTGTGTGTATCTATGTATATTGTTGGGCTAGTTTTAATCAAAGAGCTCCATAAGCCAAGGGCACAGTGGCACATACTAGTCTGTAATCCCAGCAACTTGGGAGGCTGAGGCAGGAGAATGGCAAATTTGAGACTAGCTTGGGCAATTTAGGGAGACTCTGTCTCAAAATATAAAATGGGTTGGAGGTGTACCTCAGTGGTAGAGCACCCCCATGTTCAATCCCTAAACTTACAATAGATAAATAATTTAAATTTTTCATTTTAAAAACTCTGATATAATAAAATTAATAGCAATAGGTCTATTTTTCCTTGAAATTTTACTTCTTATATATTATTATTATTATTATTATTATTATTATTATTATTATTATTATTTGGTGCTGGGGATTGCCTTGTGCATGAGATGTATGCACTCTACCAACTGAGCTATATCCCCAGCAAAATTTCACTTCTTATAATCAAATTTTTAAAAATATTTTTATTAGTCATTCATGGATCTTTATTTAATTTATTTATTTATATGTGGTGCTGAGGATCGAACCCAGTGCCTCACACATGCTAGGCAAGTGTTCTTCTACTGAGCCACAGCCCCAACCCTTATAATCAAATTTTTGTTTAACAGCTTTAGCTTGTCAATTTATTATCAAATTTAGCTTGTCATTTTAGAGCCAAATAATTATTTTCCTTTTGGCTCTGGGTAAAATACATATCAAATTTATATAAAGAAGTTATCGGGGGCTGGGGATGTGGCTCAAGCAGTAGCGCGCTCGCCTGGCATGCGTGCGGCCCGGGTTCGATCCTCAGCACCACAT